AGACTTATAAGTACCCTAAAAGGAACCCTAACTGGGGTTATGGCACTTATAAGTCCCTAAAATAACTACTTTCTAAGTCCCCCGACCCTCCATGTGTGGGTGGTTGTCAAAATTACGGTCCCTTTTTGGGTCCCTACTATAGTACGGCACCTATTATGTAGGGTACCCAAACAGGGACCCTAATTTTGACAACTACCCATATTGTTCTGGGGCTCTCAGCTTGGGATCTAGGAAGCAGGCTTTAGGGCTTAGTTTAGGGGTTAGGGCCCAAGGTTTAGGTGCTCAGAGCTTGGGGGTTTAGGGTCTGAGGGTCTAAGGTCTAGGGGCTCAAAATTAGGGGCTCAAAACTCAGGAAAGAAGTAGGGTTCGAACCCAGAGTTCGAACACCGGTGTTCCAGCTTCGAACTTGGAGTTTGAACATTCTGCGATCTAGAGTTCGAACTCGAGTTCAACAAAGAGTTCAAGAGTTCCGAATGGAGTTCAACTCTGAGTTCAACTTAGAGTTCGAACTCCGGGTTCGGAGGGGACACACATGTTCGAACCCCGAGTTCTCCGCCCTGAACTCTCGAACTCCGAGAACCCTGAGTTTGAACGACTCAAATCAGACTAATTATGTACCTAGGCTGTCAAATGAACCCTAACCATAATCCTGATGGCCTAGACGGCTTCGGGTTCAGGGTTGCAGGTCCAGTACAATGGAGGACGGAGCACCTCATTGCGGCGAAGACCTGGGTCCGTATGATACTGCCAAAAACCTACCTGGACCCTGATCGAAACTGTGGTGAATAATGGCGTTGTATAGGTATTGGGCCATTATTTTACTTACTTTTGGGGGTTGAGGTAGGACCTACTTCGTCCTTGGCTTCTTCGTCCTTGGCTCCTGTGACGCCTCCCGATACCTTCAACTGCACCCTAACCTTAAACACAAAACCCTAAACCCTCCTAAACCCGAAACAATTTCCAAGACATCCTGCAAAGGAGCCGTCAGCACAGCAACACTGAGTATCTGGCGCTCCAGGTTACCAGCCCTTCGGTAGGCCGAGGGTCTTGCTCTCTTTGTCTGGAACCGTTTTGGGGGTTCGGTATTTTCATACAGTAGAGGCCAGAAAGTTAAAACATCATTCTCCTCACGCGCATTAAGGTAAAGCATAGGGAATCCTGGCACTAATCATCCTTAATCCACCTTCCATGGTTTCCGCGGTTCACTCTACGTAGAGTTGCAGGTTTTCGGAGCTTCTAGAGCTGAGGGCGTCTGAATATTTAGAGACCGGTCCAGGGCATGAGGGCTGAGGGGCTGATGTAGAGCTAAGAGATCGACTTCGAGGCCCTCGAGCTTTTGGAGTTTTGATTGTTTTAGGGTTTATGGTTTATGGTTCAAGGTTTAGGGTTGTGGCTTGGGGCCGAAATCGCTGGAGGTGTATGGTTTTTGGCTCTTGGTGAATCCGTGGCCTACGGTTGATGATATAAATCCTGCATTACCCATAATTACGAATATACCATAATTCCCATAGTCTAGGGTCCTTAAGCAAATGCAGGATTTATATCATCAACAGTACAGTATCTCAGTTCGAAGTTTGGATGCTCATCAAACTTAAGGAGAGCCCATGGACTTCGTGAGGCTGCATAGTTATGGGAAGACAGGGACCGCGTCTCCGGATCTATACCACACATCTCAAGGGAGTACATCGAGCTCTTGTTCAAGCCTTCTTTGCGTTGGTCCAGGACTCGGGACTTGCCCACTAAACAAAGACCCAGCCTGTGCGTGTCCATCATACAACCGCTGCTGGCCGGCCTCGGGTCTTAACAACGGCACCATCATTTTTTACGCAGACTCTTTAGATACTCCACGATCTCAGACTACATCGATGTGATGTCATACTTTATGACTCATAGGGCTGTATGAAATTCTATAACTCGTCTTCCATATTGTATGCAATAAGCCATGCTGGAGTTCCCCGCGTCGACCCTAAACTCTACCGTAGCTGGCGAAGTCTTTCATGACTCAGGGAATGTGAGATCCCGGTTTGCAGCTTGGGGTCTGGCACATGTACTGCCACACCTGCTGCTGCTATCGCTACTGCTACGGCTGTGGAAGCTGCGATGCATAAACAAAGCAAGTATACAGCATACAACATCGGCAAGATGCTTAGGGCCCTGTTTCTCAGATATGAGCCTCACCAACCCAACACCAAATACAAACTACACCAAGAACTCCACACACTAAACCCTAAGCCCTCATTAAGTCTGATTCAAAGCCAAACGTGGGAGTTTCCGAAAATAGGGGACCCTAATATGGTACCCTAAATAGAAGGATCCTTATTATGAGGACCCCCAAATAAGGTACCCCTGTTTTCGGAAACTCCCACGTGAAAGTTGGCATCCAAGGGCTTCCTGAGGCCCACGCCACAACTTCTCTGCTCAGCATGGCAGGCCAGCATCAACGTCGGGATTCCAAGTTTGGGGACTCCGTAATTTGGAGTTCTGGGGTTTAGGCTGTGGGCTGGTACATGGGAGTTTCCGAAAATGGGGGACCCTAATATAGTACCTAAACTACTAGGATCCTTATTATAAGGACACCGGGAAACTCCCTTATTTACAGGGGGTTCAAGGTCACGAGAGCTCAAGGGAGGCTGAAGAAGTCAGGCTCTGGGCATCTAGGGGAGGTGAGGGGCATACAGCAGTTTGGTGACTTCTGGCCCTAAACTTCCTTAAACCCTAAACCCCTAAACCCCTGAACCCCAAACCCCTAAATGCCCTAAACCCTGAACCCTAAACCCTCAGCAATCTCAGACTTCCTAGAGACCTTCTTTGAGGCTCCTGGGCGTGGTGGATCTTTTGAGCCTGCCCGGGGTGGAAAACCGTGGCATGGGGTGTGGGTTTCGTGGGCAGCTACGGTTTGGGGTTTAGGGTTTAAGGGTTAGGGTTTAGGGGTTTAGGGGTTTAGGGTATCGGGGTTTAGGGTTTAAGCTGCCAATGCATGTGAACTTCTGAGCCCGTGGCTGGAGGAAGAGAAAAGTGCACGACGGCAATAGAAATTTAGAACTCGTAAGGCGTACGTTGCAATCGCTGAAACGATGACAATCATCTTGCGTGCGCAAAGACAGAAAGACTCGTGGAATCATCTCGCCCTTTGGGGTATGGATAAGCAGACATGATCACCATGAGCAAAAGGCACAGAAACAAGAGGTCTCCAAAAGGGGAGGATCGCTGAGAGAATTGTCCAGTTCCCAAGCACCAGCCGCAGCAGCCAAAGCAGTTTAAGTAGTGGCGCAGAACAGTAGTTGTTGTCCGAGCAGTGGCAGCCGAAGAACGGTCTTCGCAACTGCGGCGAAACAGAACATAGCATACTATGAGAAAGTCACGGCGACGAACACCGAGATAGCATACTATGTTAAAGTGTTAATTAACAAGAAACCAGACTCAAAATCATCTCAAATTGTTTCTTCTAACTAACTTTTTTGGCTTGGAATGAGGCAGGCGTATTTGGAGGCAAAGTGTTGTCGAGCCCTCTGGAACCACTCCGACCACAGACTTTCACAACGCCGTCCTACGCAAACGACACGCTCCCCCGTGAATATTTGCACAGTGTCGTTGAAAGTCTCAACGACTATCCTAAACCCGGACCACCAAGCCCTAAAGCTTAGACAATGCGTCCTAAACCCCAGAGCGCCTCTTTGGTTGCGATGGTCGGTTTCCCGGAGCTCACTCAAACTGTCCCTTCGGACAGTGTTGGACTCCCGGCTCGCGTGGCAGGTCGTCGCAGTCGATCTGATCTAGCAAAGGCTATACAGAACTTAGAACCCTAGCAAAAATTGTAATTTTAGCTGTTTCTTAGAAATTATCATAACAAAAAACTAAAAACTATTTCTAAGTACCCCTAAGAAGACTTTAGAGCAGCCCTACGGAACAGTGTCTAGACCCAAAATACTGGAACATGAACCCTGTAAAAAAGGAATAAGGGCTTACTCTAGGTCCTAGGTATTGGTACTGATTCAGGCTCCCATTTTCTGGTTTCGTCAGGTCTTCTTCCGGTAATGTGATTCGGACTTTGAGCTTAGGGGTGCAAGGGCTTCGGGCTTCAGCAAAGAACAACATCGCCAGACTGGCAATCATAGCCGTAAGCCCCAAGCCCTAAACCCGTAGACAGAACAACTGGGCTTTTAAGTAACCAGGGAGAAAAAAGTATAAACTTATTTCATAAGGGTTCCTTTAAGAAAAAAGTATTAGAGTATGGTACTCCAAAGCCCAGACAATGGAAATTGGCCTTGAAGGTGAAGTTTGGAGATAGTTGAGGGGTTGCTCGCGCCGCCTACACGCTCCCAAAACATGAAATCCTCGCTCCACGTGGCTGAAGGCTTATGCAGGGAGTTGTCGGTTGCAGAACGATGGTATATGACTGTGGTGCATGTTAGTGGACGAAATTTTGGGGCTTCGGGCGCGTCGGGACGAGCAGTAACTTCGTTACTGGCACCTCTGGTCAAGCTACATGTGGAAGACCTGGAAGGATCAGAAACTCTCGAAACCACCTCAAACGGATCGAGCGTTGCTTGAAATGTTATTCTTTAGGTACTGCCCCCATACAGTAAGAGTCTATAATAGGGCTACTATTAAGGTCCTAATATATCTATTCAACTAGTACTGAGTGGGGGCCGTACCCAAGTTATTCTCTACAGCCCAAATCCCTACTCTTTTTACAAGTTCCCAGAGCATGCTGCAAACTGCCGATGTGCCCCAGAACTCATAATGACAATGATCAACACTGTAGCCATATGTAGTTCTGTCAGCAGCGAATTCATCCCAGCACGTCCGTAGCCTCTCTTCTTCAAAAAACTGGGCCCTAAAACGCTCAACCGTTGTAAGACAGACCAAATATATAAGCCCAGCAACTTTTATATAGTTCTCTCACTAGAGATTTAAGACTTAGACTTCTTAACCCTAAACCCTAATCCCTAATCCTGCTGACCTGCAACCTGCTCTTTGGCTGGAACATCGAGACTTCCTCATTCCTTGTCGATGCAGCACTCCTGCGGGTCTGTAAAGGATGTGGGCTTTGGGGTAACCCCTGTTAACCCCGAATCCTCTAGAGAATAAACCCAGAAATCCTAGACCCAAGAGTAGCCTAGGAATAAAATTGGTGCCCGTTTTGGGTTCAAGGGGCTAATAAGGGAACCTGAACCCCCAAGAAAGGGAATAAGGGCCTACTCTAGGTCCGAGAATCTAAGCCCAAATCCTAAATCCCAAACCGTGCTGAACTCCCGAGCTGCTTGACAGGTCAGTCCTGATCGGTGCTCCCTTGCTTCTTCTCCTCAAAAACGAAGGAAGGAGGTGGGCTGTACGGCTTCATTTAATGGTTCGGGGTTTAAGGGTTTAGTTTATCTCTCTTCTGCTTCTCTCTTTCACTTTCATTCTGACTCTTTGTTGTCTTCTCTCGTGGTCTGTCTCTCTCTCTCTCTCTCTCTATCTCCCTCTCGCTCAGGCCTTCATTCCTGATCTTGCATCAAAAAGATGGCTCTGAAGGTTTTAAGTTCTCTCAAGTAGCTAGGGAGCTTAAGAGCCTGCAGCCTGATCCTTCATTGCGAAACTGTCTGCAATGGATGGCTCGCAAACTACGCTCAAGGGTTCATAGGGTTAACATGGGTTTGTAAGGTTTAGGGTTTACGAGCTCGTAGATATGGCGTGAGTCTGCGTCTTTGGCTCTTCTGGCTCGGTCCGGTTCGCTTCCATCCACTGTTTAAAGTCCTGTTGGTTTTGCTTCTGTGCCGACTTTGCTTGCAGGAGAAACTTGTATGCGGTCGGGGCACTTGCGAACTCATCACATCATGGTATGTTATCTCATAGGCTATACTGTAACGACAGCAAAGTATACTACAGCGAGGTATACATGTGTTTTGTGATATCAACCAGAGCTTTGGCCAAATGTCCAAGCATCTGAGTTCGCATTCACGTGACAGCCCAAGCCCAACTCCACAAACTGGAGCAGCAACACGGAGTCTTGACACTTTGAACTTGAACACATTTAAGGGTTTAGGGTTTAAGGTTTAAGTTACCATAATAAAGAAACCATAATAAGTAGTATAGATCCCTATTATGGTAACAGAATCCGTGGACCGCGCTGCATTGGGCATCAGGGTCTTCTTGTCGTCGGCGCAGCAGTACTCCTGTCAAGAGTCCGGGGCACCATGCTTGATTTCAGGCTTTGCAGGATTTCTGTGTCATCGGACCCTATCAATAGCTCTGTCAAGTCTCTACTCTCGCTGCATTACCTCTCCGCGCAATGATTTCTCGAACATGAGCTGTCTTGGCGTAAGAGCATGCCCCAAGAAAGCGAAGTGGCAAATGAGTCTATAGGGGCTCCACAATGGTTTTCTGAAGGTCTCTAGCTATAACGGTGCTACCCTCGATCCACATGCATCCATACAACACCCGTGATAAACCCTTAAGCCTTAAGTTGCCCCGGTAAAGCCTGCTCAAAACCATGCTAGATCAGAGAAACCCAACGAAAACCTGACAAACGAAACACAGAAAACTTCGAACGAATTCCCTCCGGAACCCCCATCAGCCGTTTTTCACCCTTATACTTAAGCCCTTGACGCACCCCTCAAAGGAAACACTTAAAACAACCCGAACCCCTTAAAGGCACCCCATAGAGGAGCCCCTTACAGTGTAAAACTCCAAAAAAGAGAAGCGGTCCGAGCAGAGCTTCGGATCCTGGGCGCGATTGAAGCAAAAATCATACCGATGCCTTATGGGGGCCTCGAAACGTAGAACAGGGTTCGGGGTTAGGGCTTTGGGGGTCTTAGGAACAGCAATAGCGTTCCTTTAACGGTCGGGGCCAAAGTATCTACAATTTGTGTACATGGACCCTTCGGGTAAGGGTTGCATAAGTTTTCGATATAGGGCCTCATATAGCACGAAGTATAATACGGAACCTTAAAGAGGAGCAGTATTGGAAACTATTGGCAGCTAAATTTATTCCATCACGAGTGTTATTATGTAATAAGCTTAGATGTATATATATATATATATATATATATATATATATATATATGCGTGTATTTGTTTTTTACTAGTACGAAGGTTATCACTAGAAACATAAAGATTGTGAGAAGCCTAAACCCTGAACCCTAAACCCTAAGCCTTCCTAGACCCTCCATCTACCCTCTATTAGACCCTAAATGCCCCTTATTTGGGACCATATACCCCTATTTGAGGGTACAAGGAGGCCTGATTTTCTCATACTCTTCTACTACCCGACCGCCAAGCAGCGTAGCACTCGACGTCGGTGGAACCCAGGGCTCCCCGGTCGGACTTCCTGAGGCTTTTAAGGTTTAGGGTTTAGGGATTTTAAGGTTTGGGGGTTGGGGCTTAGGGATTTTAAGGTTTAGGGTTTAAGGATTTTAAGGTTTGGGGTTTAGGGTTTAGGGATTTTGAGGATTGGGGTTTTGGGTTCGGGATTTTATGGTTTGGGGTTTAAGGATTTTAAGGTTTGGGGTTTAAAGTTTAGGGATTTTAAGGTTTGGGGCTTAGGCTTCAGGGATTTTAAGGTTTAGGGTTTAGGGCTTAGGGATTTTAAGGTTTGGGGTTTAAGGTTTAGGGATTTTAAGATTTACGTTTTAGCGGTTTTAAGGTTTGGGGATTTAGGGTTTAGGGATTTTCAGGTGTGGGGTTTAGTGATTTTAAGGTCTAGGTTTTAGGGTTTACGGATTTTAAAGTTTGGGGTTTAGGGTTTAGGGATTTTTAAGGTTTGGGGTTTAGGGTTTAGGGATTTTAAGATTTGGAGTTTAGGGTTTAGGGATTTTAAGGGTTGGGGTTTGCGGTTTAGGGAGTTTAAGGTTTGGGGTTTAGGGCTTTGGGTTTAGGGTTCAGGGATTTTAAGGTTTAAGGTCTGGGGTTTAGGGTCTAGGGTTTATGGTTTAGGGGTTTTTGAGGCTTGAGGTTTAGGGTTTAAAATCAAGGGTTGTACAGAGTTGCCGAGGCCAAGATTCTACATAATGGCTTGAGTTTGAGGGTTTCTCTGAGGCTTTCTATGAGGCACCTCTGGGTCCAGCCCTACTCATGGTTCTACAGAGTTTTTAGGCTAGGGATTAGGGTAAGGGCCGGAAGATCATCATCCTTTCTCGATGAGTCTCGGCCTCTTTCATATGGCAGAATGCTCTTATATTGGAATCTATAATGAATCATGATAGATTCCAATATAAGAGCATCATGACATAGGAAAGAGGCCTTATAATGACATAGCTTACGTCACAAGAAACACAACAAACCACTCAGCGACTACTCGCTGCAAAACTTGCACAAACTGGCTTGCCCAACCCTCAGAATCAGAAGGATTGAAGCAATCCCATAGACGCTAAACTCCAAACCCTGAAGGAACAATGCGAAGTCCTCCTCCAGCGGGTGGGGTGGCTGGTCTGATACTGACTGCAATACCTCGGCTGGCAGCACCTCGGATGCTACGCAGAGCTTGTGCGGCTCAATGGCTGTAGAGCAAAGTCTAAGTCTAAGCAGATTTTGTTACAGCTGTAACGGGGATGTGCAGAGCAAAGACGCTACTTGTGCTTCTTCAAAATTCTGAAAGTCACGACCTAAATTGACAAACAAATACCGAATGCCTCTTTGAAACCCTCAAGAAGCACCCAAAATTATCGGCTCAGCCAAATGAAAGCAAACTCCAAGTTGCTTGGTCCTACTCAGAATCTTCTCGTTGCATTTATGCGGGCCGCAAAGAAAGAATATTGCGATCCATCTGAAAAAACTAACCCCTTACACAACCCTAAACCCTAAACCCTTTACTAAAAATATAGCCCCGATTCAGGGAGCCCGGTCTGCCAAGACCGCCGCACTGCACAGGTGTTGGGCCGAGGTGTTTACATCCCGAGTCCCGAAAATTATGAATGGTCCTTCGGTTGGTGATATAAGCCCTGCACTACCCATGATAACGAATATACCAATTCCCATAGTCTAGGGTCATTGAGGTAATGCAGGGTCTGCAATTATCATCAACCCCGTGGGGATTAAGGGATGCAGGGTGTGGTTTTAAAGATGGGCGCGAGGGCCCAAACTCCCTAAACGCTGCCATCTCTTGAACCCAAACCTCTCAGCCTAAAGCCCCACACCGCAAATCGCTACAGCCCTGGCCCCAAAACAAACAACATTGTCCAAGAAGCTCTAAAACCTAAAGGATATACTGTCCCAAATACCAGCCTACATCACTCCTATCCTAAAAATCGAGTACCTAGTTCTTGGGTCCTCCGGACCGTTAGGGAAACGAAACCCAGAGACTCCTGAATTCATGGGTGGCTGTCAAAACTAGGGTTTTTGGGTCCGTATTACAATACGGCACATAACATTTAGGGTACCCCAAAACGGGCCCTAATTTTGACAACTACCCTTACAGCAGGATCCCTAATATGATTTAAGGTCTATTCCTTAATTAAGGGGTGTTGCAGTCTCTGAGAAGTAGCCCTCGGGACCGAGATCGCTGCAGAACCCCCCTCCCCTGAGGCCGTGCACTCTTCGTTGGTGCTGCCCTGCCTGGGATGGACATAAGCTGTACAGATGGTGGGACTTGGTAACTAAGGTTGCAAGCATCTTTATTTATGGGATTTCTACCTATCTTGATCGGGGTCATAAGTATCTTAACTGGGGTTCGAAGTATTTGTGCAAGATATCCTGTTTTCAACCCGAATTGCTCAGTAGCACGGACCTCCAAGTCGCGGTCGCGATCCCACCACTCCGCAAATCAGCTTATCCTTGAACCTTAAGACATTAAGGGTCATGCCTATGCACCCACATGGCAGTATATACTGTTGTCATTTGTCCTAAAGCTACTAGATAGCTAGGAACCCCGTGAGTATATAGTCTATAGGTGCATGCGCTATGAGGGGAATAGAGTGGGTTTTGAAGCCGATAGTCCTACAAGCACCACCTTGGTAGCCTACGTAGCAAGATCTACTGATGTGAGGGTTTCCAAAAATAGGGGACACATATATGGTACCCTATAGTAGGATCCTTATTATAAGGACCCCTAAATAAGGTAATTACCCCTAATTTCGGAAACTCCCATGTGGCTTGGAACAATCAAGCCAGCTTCGAGGGCTGCTAATCTACGGCTGCTTGGGCTCCAGGAAACCTGCATTCTCGGTTGCGCTGCCAGTTGAACTCCTCACACCAGTAGCAATCGCCTACTATTAGGAACAGCAGCACCAAGAGTGGCAGCAGTGTAGCAGTCGTCGTAATAGTACCAGTAGTTTTAGTAGTCGTCATCATCGAACTAGTACTGTAACAGTAGCAGTAGCAGTGGCAGTAGCACCAGGAGCAGCAGCAGCAGCTGCAGGAGGAGCAGTAGCAGCAGCAGTAGCAGGAGGAGGAGTAGTAGTCGTAGTAGTAGTGGTAGGACCCTTAGCCCGAAACCCTTTAGTCCCAAACTCAACACATCGCAGCTCTGGACCGTGGGCCTGAAGGCAGGAACGGAAACCCCAAAAGATCCAAACCAATATAGCAAAGTATATTGTATGGAAATGCAGATGTATATACATGTGCACATGTAGATATGTGTATAAGGATGTATGTTTATACGTAAATATGTATCTGCGCATAAAGACATATCATCTATAGATCATTATACATATGTTAGCATGTGTAGAGTTATTATATATGTATAGAACACACACACACACATATATATATATATACATATATATGTATGTATGTATAATGTGTGTGTATATATACATATACATACATGCGTATGTGCATGTATATTTATATAAACACATGTGAATATCATGTATATGCATGTGTGTAGCATGTACACATGTATGTATACATCCCTTTGTATATGTACATACATACACATACATACATACATTCATTCATACATACATACATACATACATACATACATATGGTGTAGTACCCTTCATAACAGTGCAGTGCTGCAGCATATTATGATGCACTGTAGTGAACTGTTATAGCACATTATGGCCTGTTAGTATCATATCGACAGCAATATAGTATACTACAGTCTATTCGAGAACTGTCTATCAACCACGATAAACCAGACAACCCATTGATGCATCAAACCAAAGCCATAACCCTAAACCCTAAACCCTAAATCGTAAGTCGTAAAACCCTAAACCCTGTGCAGTGCCGGTCAAGGAGCCACTTGTAGTGGTTGGTGTCGACTTTCTTGTACCACTGGGTACCCTGCATGCACCACTGTAAATCCGAGAAGAGGTTCGAGCTGTTGAAGCTGGAGCTTAAACGGAAGTTTCTCAAACTGAGGGGTGCTTTATTTGGGGGTCCTTATAAGAAGGATCCTACTATTCGGGTACTATATTAGGGTCCCCTATTTTCGGAAACTCCCAGATTAGTAAGGCTTCGCATTGAGGGCGGCTGATGGTTATTGCGGTTTGTCAAAAAGACCTTCTGGGCGGATGCAAGAACGTCGGAACATGTTGGAACTGCTTGGAATGGCTCTTGTTTTTGTATTGTGCGAAGGTGTGTTTGTACGCATGGGCTGCAGCTGCATGCGGGGCATTTAGGAACCCAAAAGAAGGCGGCACCCTTCTAAAAGCAACCTGAAAGGCACCCTTTGGGTGTGCAGGGTTTGGCATTGGACCCATGATCGCACAATGCATGTCCAAGGCGGCGGTGTTGTGTGGACAGCGCAGGCATAGCGTACAAGCTTACCGCAAGGACAGGAAGTTCGGGTGGCTTCGGGTGCAAAAGTGCCGTCAAGCGAGGTTACTCATCGTGGCCTGAGACCCCGTGCCACTGGTTTTGAACTGCGTAACACAGCTGGTGGACATGTTGGGTGTTGGGATTCTTCGGCTCATTAGCGAAAGTCTGTAGAATGAGGAGCGCTGGTGTTTCATGCTCCATCATCATCATCGTACTCCTCCGAATGATTTCCAGTTCCCTCTGCCCGCTTGAAGCCCCGGAAGAAAGGCCTTGCCAGTCTTGTCGACGTCGGTGTCGCAGACCTCATGGTCTTTGGGCTTAGTTAGGGCTTTAAGATTTAAGGTTTCAGGTTTCCAAGTTAAGCCGAGGGCTTTCTTACGCTTTTCCGAGCAGCTGTAAAGCCGAAAACTCTGCCCGCAAAGGCCGAAACCCTCAACTCAAGTCAGATGAAAGATAGGGCATCCAACTATTGGTGGCTCTTCCGGGGAGGAGAAGTACAAGATGTTGGGACACAGTGCTGGATGCTTGGGCTCCCTGCAAAGTCCTCGCAGAAGATGCGATCGCAACACCTCGGCGGGACTTGCCACATCCAAAAGCACGGTCTAGTACGGAGGATCAGGAAAGACACGCCTAGCTCTGACCTGGAGCCCGGAATCGCCAGACGACTCGGTATATTGTGGGGTCACATGACCGGCAAAGCCATCTGTGGCCATACCTGCTATATGTTACATAACAGATGCCGTTACATAACAGATGCCGCAGTGAACATAATACTTCATTATGAACGCTAGGCCCTAAACACCAAAGCCCTAAGCCTCTATACAGAGGAGTATAGGATCTTCTTGTGACAGATCCTCTGCTTGTTCTTGAACAGCCCACAGGCCAGAAGTGTGACTGAACCCTGCGACGAATCCTCACAGGGAAGCTGCCCAACTCAGGGCTCAGGACTTAGGGCTTTTGTTTTTGTTTGTTTGAGTGGGGCGGGGTTCCGGTTTCAGAGCTTTTTTGGTGGTTTAGGGTTCAGGGATTGAGGTTTGAGGCTTAGGGAAGCTTTTTAAAGCATGGCTGTTGTCTAAAACCAAGGCTGTGGCTCCGATTTTTCGACGTATGGAGACTACCATAACGACATGAGCCCGAAACGTAATCCCTAAACCCTAAACCCAAAATCCTAAACCCCGAACCGCAATCCCTGAACTTCCACGGCGACCTGAACGAGCACCTAGAATAGAGTGGGTGTTGACCCGATCATAAGCCTTTAATTATCGAAGGTACAACCTTCAGAATGGTAGGCAGTTGGGGCCTTAGATATGTAGGGTATTTAACTATCCAGTGGTTTTGGGGTTCCCTTGGCTCTTTAGCTCCTTATTTAATAGGGATTATCATCATCCCTGGCTCCAGAGCTCCGACTTTCCCCTAAACCTTAAAACCCTAAAACCCTAAAACCCTAAACCCTATAAAACCCCAAACCCCAAAACCCCAAACCCTAACACCCTAAAACCCAAACCCAAAGCCCTAAAAACCCTAAATCCCTAAACGAAGGACTCGGCTGCTAGCGACCGAGGCCCCGAACTGTTCAAAGGTCGAGCCCTGCAGGGTGCCATCATTCTTCTTGGGCCTCCGGATTGCTTAGGGCTTAAGGTTTATGGGTTTAGGGCTTAGGGTTTCGGGGGATTGCGGGACCCAAGGGGTCCTAGGTACTGTTGTGGGGCATACTTCCCCAAATCATAGTAGTAATTCTTTTTACAGAAACCCTACATTCTACTATACAGGTACTTAGGACCTTTTGCAGGTTTCAGGGCTTGGAGTAGAAAGATTCGGGATTTGTGCCTTCTGCACGGCAATTTGCGGGGTGTGGGGTTTACCCCAAGTCTTATGCGAAAAAGAGCAATCCTTAACGCAGTTTCGTTCCAAACCACCGACGTCGCTGTCTGAGGCTATGGCAGTCTACGCGGATCCACGTTGCGGGTTTAGGGGTTTAGGGGCTTTTCATCCAACGTTCACTCAGATTGTAACAGAGACCTGCACAATTGAAAACGGTCTTGCTGTGGCTGCAAGACAAAGGGCCGGACACAAAGAACCCACTAAGATTCCCAAGGATCCCCACGTAAACTCAGCAAACCCCAAATCCGTAATATAAAGACCACTCACAAGCAGCATTTTGCTTTACTAAGGATTATAAAAGGGATCTAGGCGATGATGGGGCCTTGCCCAGTAGCCCCATAGTAATTCCTTCTTGGGGTTCATATTTAGAACCCTATAAAATACTATGGGGTCTATGGGTCAGGCTGATAAGAAGCGGTAAGAACTCCAGGATACGCCTGCGGGAATCTTAGAGGTCTAGGCCATATCCAGGGCTCGGGTTCAGATCATAAAGGGGCCTCAGTAATCAGAATAGGGTTCCTTTAAAGGGGTCTTTAAGGGCTACTATAAGAAATCTATAAGTCTATAAGGGTACTATATGCAATGTAGGGGCCTTAGTAATCAGAATAGGGTTTTGGAGTACAGAAAACAAGAAGTATAGAGGGAACATAACGGGATACAATGACTCCCCCATTTGGGGGGGTTCGGAGCTTTGGCTTTCGCCTGCAGGGCTCTTGCGGGAAAGTCCAAGATCAGGGCTGTCTCAAGTCTCAGGCCATGATCAGAGACTTTTCCAAAAATTCTAAACTCTGAACCCTAAGCTCGAAACCCTACCAGGACCCCCCAAGTGCCTTAAAATAGAGCCCTTATGGTCTTGAATAGTGGGTACTTAGGGTATATTAGACAAAAGTTGGGTGTTAAGGGACACCCGAACCCCCCCCCAAAAAAAATAAAACACCAAACCGTAATTCGAAAAAACCTATAAACCCCAGACACGAAAGAAAGGGGTGAGGGAAGATCAGGCGCAAAATGCCCACTGAGCTTTTGGGCTCCTCAACTGAGGAATGCTCTAGACTGGGTCCTTGTTACAGAAGTTAGTTTAAGTTACCATAATGGGGGGGGGGTTTATTTAAGGGTTCCCCTTAAGGTTTCCTCCAAGGGTTCTTGTTGAGGAGCTTAGTTCAAGTTACCATAGTAGTGCTCTACAGTAAATATCAGGGTGTCCTTCTTATGGTAACTTAAATTGAACCCCCTTTAACTCATAAGATCAAGACCCCTGCAGTCTAAGCTATATCCGAGTAGTATCAAGACCCCGTAGGTCATAATGGTATCAAGACCCCTATGAACCGAGGTATAGCAGACTAGTATCAAAACCCATACTCTAAATGTATATCATACTCTTAAACCCTGATATCACTTGATCATTGAGCTTTTTTGATAAAGACCGCACAAGAACCTGGGCGCCCCGGCTTCCATGCTGTAGCCGGATCGCAGATCTCAGGCAAACAGATCAGCTTCTCGCAGCACTCCTGGTTTCGGGTTAGGGCTTCAGGGTTTAGTTTTTTTGTTTTGTTTCATCTCCTTTTTGATGACTGCCCATCCTTCAGGGTTTAGGGTCCGGGTTTCTGGTTTTGGGTTTAGCGCTAGGACATTCCCATTCCCACCTCCAAGTCCGCGTAGGGCCCAGGGCCTATCCGAATCGCGAGAAATTCGCTTAAATCCCAAACCCCAGAAACGGAACCCCGAAAACCCACACCTGGAAACCCTTGAGCCCTCAAACCCTAAACGGCTCAGTTCGCAATCACCCTGGCCTAACCAACGTACCAGAAACAAAGGGAGATATCCTTTTTGAGATACCCTGGTTACCCTAAATCCGAAACCCCTGAGCCCCTAAACCCTTACTAAACCCTAAACCTGTAGGCACCTATAGATCCTTTAGAGGAGCCCTTAAGGGTCCCTCATAGATCCCTTTAAAGGAAACTAGGCACCGTCCTCATCGGACCAACCCTTGCGGTCGGTGTTCGTCAACGCGTTCTGGTCGGCACCTGGGCTTTGCAGATCAGAGCTGGGGTTCTGCGGTTCAGGGCCTTTAGGGGTTTAGGGGTTCAGGGCTCAGGGTTTAGGGTTTAGGGGCCTTTAGAGGTTCAGGGGTTTAGGGGTTCAGGGCCTTCAGGGGCGTAGGGGCCTAGACGTTTAGGGGTTTAGGGTTTAGATGCTTAGGAGCAGGGTTTTAGGGTTTAGGTTCTATTTGAGGGCTCATTTGAAAGCATGCCTGTGGGGTCACCTTAGAGGATCCTAACTTAAGTTAAACCAAGAGAAGGAGACACGGTGGAGACTATGGCTATGGGTAATATATACTAGGACTATACCTTAACCTACCAAAACCTACTTTTTTGTAGGGCCCCTATAAATTCCATATTAGAGTCTATCACAAGACCCTACAAAAAAGTCGGGTTTGGTAGTTGAAGGTAGGGATTATGAGAGGCTACCATCAAGCTGGGGATTTTGGCAATGTTTTGCAGCATAGTGCCATAGGGACTCTCATGTGGGTAATGTGCCCTAGACCCTAGATGGCTAAACGTTATTCGCGTGATTTAGTGCTTTCGGGTAGCACCGATATTATAAGGTTCAGGATTTGGGGCCGAGCCGTGGCTCTGAGGTTATAGGCTTGTCATAGGATTTGTAGGATTCTGGGGCTAGCATTACAGGATAGTACAACAGGGACTATACGTACTACAGGGTTCCAGGGTTACATAGATCTAGACTCCAGGTTTGGGGTTTAGGGTTGAGCTGGGGTTCTAAGAACCTTAAACCCTAAACCCCTAAACCTTAAACCCTAATTTAAGGATGATAAGTTTGTCCTGGGACTTAGCGGAGTGTATGGGTTCTACCTATAGTCTCCATTGTAGTTCCTTTTGGGGGTTACCTTATAGGATCCTTAATATATAATTGGTTAAACCAAAAAAAGGAACTACAATGGAGACTATAGGTAGTGTTTGAGGCTCCAGGACTATTGGGTTGTCATCGGGTCGATAGGAGTATCCCTGGGGCTCAAGATAGCCCGACAACCTCAGATACTATGGTCTTTGGTACCAAAAGCCGTAATACATGAGTCCTTAGAGCCCAAGGGTACGTGGGGTCTAGGATTTAGGGATCTGGGATTGGAGTTTTTGTCATGCGGCCATACCCTAAACCCTAAACATCCCGAAACCTTGCAGCTTCAAACTGCTGGGTCAATTCCAAAGCTCAAGCAAGGCAAGTCCGGCGCCCCGGGCTCACAGCACCCTAAAAACCCAAACCCTGACCCCTAAACCCTGAACCCTACACCGCGAATTTGAAGATCATGAGGAAGCCGGGGCCCTCACGGTGCACCCACTTCGTGGCATCGCTGCACTTCCAGTTCATGCAGCTCTTCCTGGGGATTGAAAGCTCATGGTTTGGGGGTTTCGGGTTTAGGGTTTAGGGGTTTAGGGTCTGACGTTCAGGGCTTATTCTTATTCCAGGGTTATTCTTAGGCCCAAACCACACGTACTGGGCATATCTGCATGCCCAAGACCGCCTCCCTCACCAAGCAACCCCCGAACATGTCAATGGAGCATGGGCTTTCAACGTCGGCGGTCGGGGTTTTACATAGAGGATACAATGCCTTGACGAAGATGAGAGCACTGCATAGCAAGGTCCGAAGCAACTCAAGCAGTCCCTACACCTTAAATCCTAAACCCTAAACTCTAAATCCTCGACCCTCGCAAACAAAGCTCATCTCGTAAAAGTCATCACAATAGTAATTCCTAATATGGAAACCCTGCATTCGACTATATGTAGTCTCGATTGTATTTTGGGTTACCATACGGGTAGTTGTCAGAATAATGGCCCCTTTTTGGGTACCCTAAAAATTAGGTGCCGTATTATACTAAGGACGCAAAAAAGGCCATAATTTTGATAACCACCCATATGGGATCTTAAGCATGAAACTGGCTTAACCAGAAGAGGACCTACAATGCAGAAGCAGGTAGGTAGTGCATCCAACTATCTGTTGAAGTTCAGAAACAGTATTGCTAAAACATTTCTATGGAAGACTTTCCAAAGCCAACCATACCCGTGTACTCATCACTACTAGTATGTCGCGAAAGGTTACATTCATGATTTCCAATTTCCAAACTGGTGGTTAGCAGTCACAACAAACATGAATACACCGTCAATCGATGTGCTTCAGGGTTCAGGGCCTCTAAAGGTGTCTATATGGACTTCTACACAAAGTTACGTAGATAGATAGATAGGTAGATAGATAGATGGATGCAATGGATGGATCGACAAAAAGAAAGGTAGATGGCTTGATAGACAGATACATAGACAGATCGGTAGATAGAGGGTTCAAAGCGGGTTTATAAGGGTTGAACACAGAGTCCTGAACAAATCGACTAGGTCGTTGCATGGGATACTCAAGCCCCTGTCGAAGCCCTATATTGAAAACACAAAACGCGAAAAAGCGCTTAAAACTCACTAAACCCTAAACTCCTATCCTCTTTTTCAGCTCCAAAGCCCACCAGACCGGGCCCCGCGCTTCTCGCAGCACTCTTCGTCGGTGCTCCCCAAGCGCTTGCTGGGATTCACCAGAAGTTGCATGGACTGGCAGAGCTGCTTACCCAAAAAAAGGGGCCTTAATACACAGAATGGTAGGCCCATCACACCGGACAAAATACAGGGGCCTTAGTACTTAGAATAGTAGGGTTTGGGATATTATACTAAGGTACCCCCCAAAATAGTTGCTTGGACTGGCCAAGATGCTTACCCAAGGACCCAAATGACCGAAGTTGAAGTAGGGGCCCTATATCCTTATACTATGATTCCCTTTTCCCTTCTTCCTATACTCGTATACTGTGATTACCTACAGTGGTATATGAACCTTAAGCACTTTTAAAGATTTCGTGTTCAAGGTAGGCTTAGGCAAACGGTGTTTACCTGAAGGCTTCTTCAACAGGGAGCTTAAGGGCGATATGAACAAGCTGGATAGGGATCATACAGGGTTTTCGGGAAGGTTTTAGAATTTCATTCTAGTATGGAGTGTATGGTATTGCTTAGGGGCTTAAAAATGTTGTAGAGGAGATAGTAGGGATCACATAGGGCTTTGAATACGGTCCCTGCATGCTTTCACGTGTTTCTATGGAGCTTAGAGTTATAGAGTTCAGGATTTCGGGCAACCAGAGCTTAGGAGGTGGGAGTCATAGGGTTTAAGCCTCAGGATTTCGGGCTGAGGGTTGTGATTTATACTTCAGAGTTTGAGGATTTGGGAGGTTCGCAGGGACGGGGTTTCTGCTGCAGAGTGGGGATGAACGAGATCAGGGTATAAGGTGGGCTCTGGAGGGATCGGAGTCCAGCATTTACGGTAGCTTTTTTGGGATGGAGTTGAGGCCTTAGAGGGCCTATACATAATGCTGAAGCGGTCCGAGTGTGAAGAGTCTAACGTAGAACAACCGATTGCAATACTGTCACTGGAGAGCTATGTAGTCGCACATGGTAACAGACAGCATGCGCATGAATTACAACGTCGTACAGTCCAATCGTCTACCACTCCAAAATATTACTGGTCCTGCTCCTGGACGACGAAGACGTTGACCACGACGTACGGTAAACGTACTCAATAAGACATGGCTTCGAACAAGAAGTCAGGGTCGATTTTTGGCCACCATCCAGGTTCCCCACAAGTTCTTAACTTACCTTTGGTTAGTAGGGAATGGAAGAATGGTAGTAACAGTGGTTATAATTGTACCCCATTCCTCCATTCCCTACTAACCAAAAGTAAGTTAATGCACAACTCGCCCTCCGGCCCCTCCCGCTCCAGCCCTCCAGCCCTCAGCCCAGCGCTCCAGCCCTCAGCAGGAGTACTATAGGAACTAGACGAAGCAGCGCAGCAGCAGCAGAGGCAGTGATGGCTCCCAGCGTGTTAGGCATTGATGGTTTACTGCACCGTGTTGATTTGGCCTCATTCTCGTTCGTACACGTTATGTACAACAAACCGGATACACACAGTGCTATTTCCACAATCCTGTAACCCAAGTTCCCATACCCTAAACCCTAAACCCTTCACCTGAAGCCGTCCTTGTCACTGCAAGTGTACTTGTCGCAGGTCATCTTTTCACAGCACTCCTCTTTGGTGTTGCCTGTCGAGATTCCCATGGATGGGCTTGAAATAAGCGTTTGGAGCTGTAGGGTTTAGGGTTAATTCAGGGGCCTTAATAATTAGAATAGGGTTTTGGGGCCCATTCTACGATATAGAAGTATAATAGGGAACCCCCCCAAAATAGTATTGGCAATTAATAAGGCCCCCATAGCATGGCATTGGGTTTAGGGCTTCAGGGTTCCGGCTTTTGGTGTCTTCTTTCACGTCTTAGGGCTCAGTGTGCAAGCAGGGGCACAGGCTTAGGGCATTCAAAACTCGGTTTGGGGCTCCTCGAATGCGATAACCCTCAACCTGCACGGTAATCCCCAAACTCATGATAACCATAATCGTCATCAAGAAGAGGGTGGTTGTCAAAATTAGGGTCCCTTTTGGGTATCCTAAATAATAGGATATTAGGGACCCGAAAAGGGACCCTAATTTTGACAACCACGCAAGAGCCATCACCGATACAAAAACAGCACAGCAACGGATCCGCTTTGTGAGGGAGGCAGGGCATCCTGCACCTCGCGTCTGTGTTAAACCTTCGCCTTTGAACCTAAGCCAGAAACACTGAACCCAAAGAGGTTCCGGGCATAGGTTTCCCTAAACCCTAAACCCTAAACCAGGTTTAGGTCAGGGGCTTTGGGTAAATTTGTGGATGAGGGTTCAAGGTTGACCGAGTGAGGTTCCAGCAGGGGATTCAACTTTCATTGCTGGTTCAATGGGTGCAGCGGATTTACAGAGGCGTAGCTAAACTCAGTGCTTGGAGACTGAGTGCTCTTCAAGCTGAACGGTTCCAAATACAAGCCAAAGTTGGAGAATTGGTACCAAGTATCCCCGAACCCATGCAGCCTAGAACGCTCCGAAGATATAAAAAAAGAGCTTGCCTTATGTCCATCCCTGTCACCATTACCAAGTCCTATGTCCCACACCCCTACCACGAAAGCCTAGCACTGGAAGGTTGGCGCAAGAAGCTCAGATTCTGTGCGTTGTAAAAAGCTGGATGGCTTAGAAGCTGCCCCCACCCTAGTAATAGTGACTATAAGGATTATATTAGGGCCCTATTACATTCCTATTATATCCCTAATATACCACTATTACAGGGTGGGGGCAGCTTCTAATGGATGGCCTTTTCCGCCGGTCAGGGGTTCTTCAGTGTTCGGGAAGACTTCTAGCAGTGCAGTACTTTTTCAGCCAGAAGATCATGAACATCGGGTTATAGTGTGAAATTCCCATGCGTAGGTTGTAGTAATAATGCTCAATATACAGCCAGACCGATCTATCTATACATATATATATATATATCTCTCTCTCTCTGAGAACTAATCATAGAAATATGTATCTTTATAACTGTATATATGTGTGTATACTGTGCTGCTTTATTTGGATTTTGATTCTTTAGGAGCATGCATATACACATGCATCCGCACGTGTCGGAATCCTTCGCGCATTTTTTGTGCAAATACGCGTTTCGCCACAGCGGGAGCGCATTTTCATACCGAAAACGAGGCCTCAAAAAAAATGCTGTTTTCAGAGCTAGTTTTGTGGAAACCATGGCAGGCGTGGCACTTTGCGAGATTCGGCGTGTCACTTTTTTGGGTCTTCTTTTTCGCGTGGTTGAAAGGCCGAAAACACCGCGCACAACAAGGTTTCCGTGATGTCAACAATCCAAAGTGCGATTTTGCCGTTTACCCCAAAGTTTGTGATTGTTTCTTCTACGTGGTTTCGAAGATGAGTAAGCAATGGCAGCGCAGCGAAGAGAGATCAATGAAAACGACATTTTCGTCGCATTATGAAAACATTGGGAATTGCCGCGGATTTGTGCATATCTTCGCGAAAGCTACATCGGATCATCTTCGTGAGATGTGCCTAGCGCAGGAACATGCATCGGATGAACTTCGTCAGCTTTCAGAGATTCATGTGAGTTGAGTGGAAGATAGGATAGATTGGAATCAGGATGAACACATTTTGGAATTCGTCTTGATTGAGGAGGATTGGTGAATTTTTGTCGCGATAACTGCATCGGATCATCTTCGTGAGATGTGGCTATTGCAGGAAAACGCATCGGATGAACTTCGTCAGATTTCAGAGATTCATCTGAGTTGAGTGGAAGATAGGATAGATTGGAATCAGGATGAACACATTGGGAATTCGCGATGATTGAGGACTGGTGATTCTTTTGTCGCGACAACTGCATCGGATCATCTTCGTGAGATGTGGCTATTGCAGGAAAACGCATCGGATGAACTTCGTCAGATTTCAGAGATTCATCTGAGTTGAGTGGAAGATAGGATAGATTGGAATCAGGATGAACACATTGGGAATTCGCGATGATTGAGGACTGGTGATTCTTTTGTCGCGACAACTGCATCGGATCATCTTCGTGAGATGTGGCTATTGCAGGAAAACGCATCGGATGAACTTCGTCAGATTTCAGAGATTCATCTGAGTTGAGTGGAAGATAGGATAGATTGGAATCAGGATGAAAACATTTTGGAATTCGTCTTGATTGAGGAGGATTGGTGAATTTTTGTCGCGACAACTGCATCGGATCATCTTCGTGAGATGTGCCTATCGCAGGAAAACGCATCGGATGAACTTCGTCAGATTTCAGAGGTTCATGTGAGTGGAGCAGAAGATAGGAGAGATTGCAATGAGGATGGAAACATTGGGAATTCGTCTTGATTGAGGAGGATTGGTGAATTTTTGTCGCGACAACTGCATCGGATCATGTTCGTGAGATGTGGCTATTGCAGGAAAGTGCATCCGATGAACTTCGTCAGATAACTGCATCGGGTCATCTTCGTGAGATGGGCCTATCGCAGGAAAACGCATCGGATGAACTTGGTCAGATTTGAGAGATTCATCTGAGTTGAGTAGAAGACAGATTGGAATCAGGATGAAAACATTGGGAATCCGTATTGAGCGAGGAGGATTGGTGAATTTTTGTCGCGCAAACTGCATCGGATCAACTTTGGCCCACGCTCACGCAGCACGGACGTTATTAACCCCCCCCCCAACTCCAGCCCGGTCCAGCCCCCTCCCGAAGACAAGTCCGAATCCTCAGAAATGCACGAAAACGCACGACAGTTAACGATCCGTTAGCACATACATGCATATCTGCATACCTGCCTGCCTACATGTACATACATCCATGTATGTACATGTATATGAGCTCTACCCGGACCAGCCGGAACAACGACCCAAAGTCAGCAAGACACAACCTGGAAGCTGGCACGACTGCGCTGCTCAAGAAGGCGAGGCACCAACAATGGCGTTCTTCTTGGACTTCCATTTCGTGTCGTTGGGGCATTTGAAGGTCTCGGCTGCAGGAGAGCTGGTGGGAGGAAGTCATCTGACTGACTGAGGGCTCTTTTAAGGTGTCTCCTGTCCATGGTCGTACTAGCACAAGCCCCGGTATTGTCTGTCTGTCTTATTGTCGGAAACCCAGTGTTCCCATAGAAGCACTGTGAAAGTAGTTTGTAGAACATCGTAGAGACCTTCGTATAGTTACGTGTTCATTCCCCTCCAAACCCTAACACCCTACAACACCGTATTGTTGCTGCCACAACTCGTTTAAGTCTAGTCACCCGGCAGCACAGCAGTCTGACTAAATTCGTTCAAACAAGACTATATGCATATTATGCACTCCAATGAAATCGAATTCGTTTCTCAAACCTACGAGACATTAGGAACGACACACTGCAAACTCCATTCTAACCTCAGGAAACTTTCGGGCCTTGATTTCTCTTGAACGGGTTTTGGAGGTTTATTACATGGGCTTGAAGTAACCAGGGCGAAAAAATAATAATATTTGTTTTTTCATAATGGATCCCTTTAAGTAACAGGTCCCAGAAAAAGTACTAAAGTATGGTACTCCAAAGCCAGCCTGGTAGCCATGTAAGCCTTGCTAGGCCATGGGGAATAATACATATGTAATTATACAGACCTATACAGCCGAGCTTTGTCGTGCAACTATACAGACTTATACAGCCGACCTTTTCACACAAAGCTCCCGCACCCTGTGTCAGAATATTCCAAAGATCAAAGTTAATTCAGGCGTTCAACTCCATATTAAGGGTCGTTTGGCTCCCCAACTCCTGCCAAGCCTTGAATAATGTATGGCATATGGCATCCGCGTATATACGTCACGATCCCATCCATAGCAAGACGAGTAACTACACCCTGTTCTAGTCATGCTACACTCTACAACAGCAAGTATGCCAGGAAGGTTTAACTCGGGCTGTGACGGCAACAACTGCAGATATATATCCACCCTCCAACTTGAAGAACGGAAACCTGATGTCAGAAGACATACCTTTGGTTAGTAGGGAATGGAAGAATGGCAGTAATAGTAGTTCTAATTGATTCTAATTGTACCCCATTCCTCCGTTCCCTACTAACCACAGGAACCTAAACCCTAAATCCTAAAACCTGATGTCAGAAGAGGCTCATCGCACTTCTTCACATCGCAGCAGGTGTCCCGGTCGCTTCCCTTCGTCGAGGCCGCGTCGGGCTGGCGCGCGAAGCACAGGTTGCGAGATGTCGGGGTCAAAAGTTTGGGATCCTAGCATTAAACCTACGACAAGGTACGTGTGTGTGTGTGTGTGTTTTTTGTTTTGTGCGTGTGTTTTTTTTTGCGGGGGGGGGGGGGGGGGGGGGGGGGCAGAGGGTTGAGTTTAAGGTTCCAGCTTAGGGTTTATGGATCAAAGCTAAACAGTTGCAGTGGCAGCAGCGATCAACGGCAGCAGCGGGGGCGGTAGAATGAAAGGTAACAGTACTGGTAGTGGTGATGTTCGTGGTGGTTGGTGGAGAAGTAGTTGCAGTAGTAGCAGCCGAAATATTAGCGTTGTTCTGCTTCTTCTTACTATCACCATTAAGGGCATGAGTAGCAGTGTTGGTGGTGTGGATGGTCGATACTTGCAGGATAAAGTTTGCGATCATTGCCATGGCAACAGGAACCGCAAAAGCCCATGCCGAAACCCTGCATCAAAAACACGAAGAGGAAGGCTACCCCTACTTCTGTGGCACTGTTTCCTAAAGCGAGTCCTGGTGTGCTAAAATGGGAGTTTCCGAATATTAGGGGTACCTCATTTTGGGGTCCCTATATTAAGGATCCTGCTATTTAAGGTATTATATTTGGGTCCCCTATTTTCGGAAACCCCCAAAATGCAACAACACACCAAGCAATACCGAACCCGGCGATCCCAACCCGGAAGCTGGAAGACTCCTGGCACCTTGAGGCCATAGTGCTCGGAGGGCTTGCACTCGAAATCCTGCCACTAGTCAGGAGTTGAAGGAAAGCCCAGGGACGGACCAGCTGTCATTCCTGGATTTTTTTTGAAACGCATGGTTCTCTCGTAGGGGTGGAGTTGTTAAGGTTTTAGGGTTCAGGTGTCACGGGGTTAGGGCTGTGAGGGGGGAGGTCCGGTACCGCTATGTGAGGTCCATACCGCAGGGGCTAGTAAGAACAACATCTGATGAGTGTGAAGACTCACATCACATGGCTGCCAAGGGTCAACTGGAGTAGCTGGAGCAGGGAAGCTGCTGCATTGCAGCCCACTTGTGGCTAGCCAAAATGCATCTGTAGCCTTAGAAGCCAAATAATGGCCCTAGGCATAAATACCCGTCCAAAGGAAGGACACTTCTCAGACAAACCAAAGAACCCCAAACCCTCATGAGTTGGAGCCATGCCATCTGTGTATGTTCTGGCAAGACTCCATGAGCCTTCTGTACTTCTGAAAGATTAGGCTTTCGCGGCCCATTCTCCATAATGTTGCCATTCTTGCGAATTGTGGCAGCGCTTCCTGCGCCACTGAAGTCCTCAGCTGCAACACCTCTCAAATCCATAACCCGCCCTGAATCCTAAATCCCTGCACCCGAAAATCATCCATGAAAGCCTGACCCCCCATTGTTGCGGTGACCTCATTAGGGATTTCGGGTCCAAAACCGCAAATGCCGAGCCAATATTAGAACCTCAACTACGGGATTCTTAGGCAGGTCTTGCACCCTTTTAGAACCTTCCGCCATACACCCTGAACCCCTGATCTCCAAGCCCCTGAAGCCCTCAACCCTAAACCCTAAACCCTAAACCTTAACTCCTAAACCCTCAATCCCTAAACCCCTGAAGCCATCAACCTTGCACACCTCACTTCCCCGACTCCATAAACCCCTACGAAACATAAACTCACAAACCCTCTAGGCCCCAAGCTTCAAAGCCTCATAACAAAGCGTGCTAGAGCCCTGATGGACCTCTTACAGCAAGCCCCTGCGAATCCAAGGAAGACCTGTAAATGGATGAAGATCCGCGAAAGCCCAACCCCTGAACCAGAACCCTGGTTACGACCCTAGACCCCTAAAGCCTGAACCCTACCCATAGGCCCCATAGTAGTAGTTCGTTTTGGGGGTTCATATGTGGAATCCCATAAAGTCAACCCAAAAAGGAGCTACTATGGGGCCTACAGTACAAGCCAGAAAGATGGAATATGATTATCCTAAACCCTTTATGGTAAATTATAGGGTATCCTACCCTGAAACCATATTCCAACTTTCTGGAGTTCCCTTTATGGGTATTCCCCAAGGCCCGAAACCGTAAAGTCCTTGCACCAAATCGGCTCGCAGCACTCCTCGGCCACTTCTCGCGGCTTGGCTTTACGTGCATACTTGCTTGCAGTGTCATGCACAAATACATGGGAGTTTCCGAAAGTTAAGGGTACCTTATTTTGGGGTCCTTGCAATAAGGATTTGTAGGGTACTATGTTAGCTTCGGTTTGGGATGGTAGATATGTAGCGCAGGATTTTGGAGAGTAAAGGATGATTAGGTACTTGGACCCTTGGGGTACTTGCCTACAGTGTCATGCACACATACATAAATACATATGCACATGAGTGCATACCGGCACTTTACTTACGTACGTACCTACGTCAATACGCGCGTTGATGCTTGGCTGCTCGCTGACTTACTTGCGTATGTACTCTCCTACTCTCATTTCCTTGCCCACTTACACGCGCACACACACACACACACACCCACGTGCCAATTGCGCAAGCCGCAAGCGAAGGATAGGTTGTTCTGCCAGCCTTGAGATGTAAGTAAGTCACCCTTGAGAGAACCTGCCTGCATGCTGTCCAGGAACTGACGCACAAGCACAGGGGAAGAAGTGCTAGCAGCAGTGGGACTGGCAGTGTTGGTGCAAGTGGTAGCACAATGGCAGTGGTGGGAATCGTAGCAAAAGAAGCAGCGTCACCGCGTGGCGTGACGAGGGACGACGGGGGACAAACAGAGTAGCAGCAGCTGGTTGTGTTGCTTGTCTGTCTCTCTTTTCATAAAAACCCGGAGTGCAACTCCAACTCCTGAACCCCGCACCCCTAAAACCTTTGGCCACGCTGAACCCTAAGCCCTAAACCCAATCATTGAAAGAGGGGCCTTAATAATTAGAATAGGGTTTTGGGGTCCATTCTAATTAGTTATAATAAAGAACCCCCAAATAATATAGGCAACTATTAAGGCCCCTATAGCAGCTACTGCCACCAAGCCACCGTAGCTTACGAACATATACCATATATCCAGTAACCTACTGTTTAGATTGCCGGAGCCCTGGGCATACCTTTGGTTAGTAGGGACTGGAAGAATGGTAGTAAAAGGAGTTGTGATTGTACGCCATTCCTCCATTCCCTACTAACCAAAAGTGGGTACTGCCACCAAGCCACCTCGTCTGTGGAACCTTTGCGGGCGACTCCTTCAGCGTGCGCTGGGCTTTGGAGGGCTGGGGGCTTACCTTCACCTAATGTAGGAACTTTATTAAGAAGAGCTGGGGGCCTTTATTAGGGTTCTCTAAGGGTTCCTGTAAAGGGTACTATAAGGGTTTTGTGTTGAATCAGAGACTCCAAACCCCCTTAACTAAGGAATACCTTAAATTATAATAGGATCCCTAATATGATTTAAGGTATATTCCTTAATTAAGGGGTTTTGGAGTCTCTGAGCAATGTAGGAACCTGATTAAGAAACCTTGGGTCTTTATTAGGGTTCCTTATATCAACCTGGGGCGCTTGTTTGCAACTTCCTGTCAAGCGGGCCATGGATCGTTTTGACACTCAGGTCGCTGTTTATATGCGCGAGCCTCGCTATGGTTCTCCTGATCTTCGCAAGCTGTTGCGTGGGCATCGCTTATGCTTTGCCTATCGCGTTCTTGAATCCAATTTCGCTGCGGCTTGGAGGCGGGCTAGTTCTACTGGTCTCGCTCCGGGTGACTGGCGTCGCACGAGAGGTTGGTCTTCTGTGATTTCTCGCTCTCTTAAGCATTTCGGCTGGTCGGTCTTAAACCAGTGGGCGTGGCGTCATGCTACCATTGCTGCGCAAGTGTCTCTTGACCCTGCGTCTCCATTTTGGAGACCTCTCGATGCCTGCCTGCACCTCCTTCGGGAGGGGTGGAGATGCGCGCTGTTTCTGCGCTGGCAGCGCTCCGAGCGTAATGATGCTTCTTCCTGTCGGGGCTTGCGTTACAGTGAAGCGCGCGTGGCCCTCGTTCGTAAAGCTTGTGTTTCACATGCCCACCTTGCCAGCTTTTCAGGAGCCTTGATGTCTCCTGCCGCTTATGCACGCGCACAAGGCAATGATGTCACATGTCCTTTCTGCTTGAGCTCTGTGGGGTCTACTGAGCATATCCTTTGGGAATGCCCTTCTTTGCCCCTTGACATTGACCGCCCTGCGGTTCCTGTTGACGCTGCGCAGCGTCGCCTTGGATGGCCGTTAGGACGAAACGCTCCTTATGATCAGGCTGTCTTAGCATGGCATCTCGCTGTCAGAGCTGCTGTTCTGAAAATGCGATACGGCTAGTGGTGCCATGATCGGTTATCTGCCTTACCTCCTGCTCTGGCTTGTGGTTTAGGCCCTCTCACCCCTTCTGGTTTTTTGTAGCAAGTAGGCCCCGTGTGCATTCTCAAGAACGTCCTCGGCGGCTACCAGCATGATATGACTTCATGGTTTCACTTTTTCCTTGGGGAGCTCTTCCACCTGGCGGGCTTCCTCACAAAGATTTCTCTCTCTTCCTTATATCAACCCTACTATGTTGGGGGTTATAGGCCCAGGGTGTCTTAATCAGGTTTCCAATATCCCTCAACTAAGGGGCTGGGTACCTTAGCCCAAAACAGGTTATCCTTGTCTCCGAGACGAAGATTTCTTGGCTTAGGCTTCTCACCCAACTACACTTGAGACCATGAACATCCAAGTAGTTTAGAGCAGCCCAGGACCCGAAACGGTAAACTCTATATGATATGGGAGTTTCCGAGAATTCGGTGCAATTTTGGGGTCCGTATAATAAGAACCCTACTATTTAGGGTACTATATCAGGGTCCCCTATTTTCGGAGACCCCCCATATTACTAAACCCTCAACCCCAAACCCGAAACCCCAAGGGGCGGATCCTGCTGGAATCTGTGCCTGTCGGAAAAAGGGCTATCTAGTTTAGGAGCTGCCCCCACCCTGTAATAGTGACCATAAGGATTATATTAGGGACTATTAGGGCCCTATTATATTCTTATTATACCACTATTACAGGGTGGGGGCACCTTCTAATATCTAGTCCAAAGCCTTCACAGGTAGAGTAGGATTTTGGGATAAGTCCTAGTCGACATGTATATGGGGCGTTGTAAGCGAATGGTATAGTAGCTTGCGCTTGTGGAGGCGTATAACCTTGTGGTTGGGTTGTTTGGGGTTTCTAGGCTTCAAAAGGTCAAAAAACAGCTACAATCCCTGCTCCCAAGAGCTTCGTCCCTAAACCCTAAACCCTAAACCTTAAACCCTACACTCCTAAAACCCATAAACCCAAGCCTTGAGCCTTGAGTTCGAACTGTCAGCACTGGACCCTGAGCTCACTACTGCAAGCCCCTGAACCCTAAACCAATGAAACCTAAACTCTGAAGCCCCAAACCCTAACCTGAAAGCCCTAAAGCCTGAAAAGGCTTAACCCCAAAGAATACCCTCTGAACAACCAAAGTCCTTCATTCCATATCGACTGCTCTGGGGTGTAGGATGGGATGTAGAGTCTGGGGGTTTGGAGGTTTGGGAATTCGGGTTCTGGAGTTAGGGTTTAGGGGTTTTGGGTTTAGGGCATGGAGGTTTGGTTGAGCTCGGGTTTAAGAACCCTAAACCCAACACTTTTCCAAAGTTAGGCATCAAGCGATGAATAGAACCCTCAGTGCATCGAGCCCCAACCCACGAACCCCCTCAGACTCGAATTGTGCATACGGGAGTTTCCGAGAATAGGGGACCCTAATATAGTACCCTCAATAGTAGGATCCTTATTGTAAGGACCCTAAAATAAGGTACCCCTAATTTTCGGAAACTCCCAAATTGACTCCCAAATGTGTTACGAAACGAAACTCGTATGCCGCAGTCAAGATGCCCTTCGAAATCCAAATGTCCAACTTGCCTGGGATGATCGGGCAGGCTTCCAATTTGGGTGGTTGTGAAAATTAGTGTCCCTTTTGCGTTACCTTAAATATTAGGTGCCGTATTATAATAAGGACCCAAAAGGGGACCCTAATTTTGACAACCACCCATTTGGAACAGGTGCAACGGTCAATGCATTAATGGGATTTGCGCGCAAAGGGATTACTGTAAGGATTTCCGACTCGGCTGGTTTGCGGCTTCAATCTACAACAGCCCGAAAGCTTAGACAACAGGGAGCAGCGGCACCAGGCATTACAACAAGGGGTTGATTCTGGCACATTAGACTGAAAATAGCCGAACCTTCTACGCCAGAAACTATCACCAAGTAACGAGGCTTCTGAATTGTGAAACGGCTTTGCAGGGGGAGGGCAGAGGCTGTGGAAGTTGTTGCATCTTCCGGCACCTAGCAGTTTGTAGCTTGAAGGCCCAGAGGTTTTGAGATGTTTCGGCTCAGACATCTCAACCGCTTGGGAATTACAGGGCTGCAACACTTTAGGCTAGAACAACCCTAAAATGCATGTCCAAAAGCATGTGGACCGTCTGAATCCTGGTGCGCGTGTTCAGGAAGAAATCATCACCATGAGACCTTCTAACTTCTATTGCAGTTCCCTTTTTGAGCTACACGGTTGATTCTAGAACCCAAGATATAAAGTTAGGTTGGTGTACGAAGCGAAAGAACTTCGATGTGGAGACCACCTGAAGGAAGGGGGTCGCAGTGTGGCTTCAGTGCTTTTTGCCTTGGCACTGGTAGGCGTTTGGGTTTGGGGATGAGGGAGTTTAAAGTTTAGGGCAGTTTAGGGCTTCTAAACCCAGAAACTCCGAAATCATCGTCTGAAGAAGCGGCAGAAAAAAATACACTATCAAGGTTGTATTGGGTTGAAAAGCAGAGGGGGAACGGTGCTGAATCCCAACACCACATAAAGGTGTCTATTCTTCGTGACCGCGTCTTATGGCAAGGGCCCGCAAGTCGACCACATATTTCTTGCCAAGCCGCGAATCGTTCCGGCTTCGCCGCCGCAGGTGTGCGTGGCGCAGAGCTGGGCAGCCGGAGGGGGGGAAGCTCTTCTCAGGACGTATGGTGGGGGACTTTTGGCTGGAGCGCAGGGTTTGGGTTTATGGATTTTTTGTGGATTTTGAGCGTTGAGGGCTGCAACACCGTGCAACCATTGAGAGCGGCTTAGTAACCGTCTCTTATCCGACGATGTGAAGTCATGGCAAGGCTATGGCAAGTGGCTTTGCACTTACAATATTCCCATGGCAAACATAGTCATATCACAGCTAAAAGAGAACCCCACACCACGGCTCTGAAGAAGCAGTAACATCAAGATGAACACCATGACGATGATGGTTCTCATTGTCATGATGATGACGTTGATGATGGTGATGATGATGATCATGATGATGATGATGATGACGATGATGATGATGATTTTGATGTGCATGAAGTTGGTGATACTGACGATGACGACGATGACGACGACGGCCACTATGGCGATGTTGGTAGAGTTTGACAGATGATGATCAACATGTTCGAGAATATGCAGCTGATGTTGATGAAGATCATGATGGTGATGATGATGATGATGATGATGATGAAAGTGATGGGAAAGCGGAATATGATGATGAGCACGACGTTGGTAACACTGGCGATGACGACGATGATGATGCTTACGACGACGATGATGATGGTGATGCTGAAACTAGTAGTGATGATGATCATGATGGTGATGATGGTGACGACGATGATCATTATGATTCTGGTGATGGTCATCAAGGCCATGATTGCGGGGTGCTGCCAATAGGAATCGTAGATGTTCCTGGTGGTGGGAGCTGCTCCTATATGCCACCCGACGCGTAACTACGACTGCACTTGATATTCGCGTTGCAGAAGATAAGGAATCCAATCCTTGTACATAACTAGAATGGGGTTTTGGAGCCCTTTATACTTGTACTATACTTATAATAACTCGACTCCAAAATAGTGTAGGTAATTATTTCGGCCCCTATAGTATGCAGACCCCTGGTAAGGTGCCCCGAAATTTGAGCCATCCCCTTGCTAGAGGACTTGCTGACAGGACATCCAGGGCCAAAGGGGCCGAAGGACCCGCACGGTTTAGGGTTTTTAGGGTTTCTTTAGGGGTTTAGGGTTTAGGGGTTTAGGGGTTTTCGGGTTTAGGGTTTTAGGGTTTAGGGCAAGCCGCAGCCAACCCCTAAA